TTTTTCTTTCACGTACGTGACGATGATAAATGCGTCGGTTACCTCTTTCGACGTCTCGCGCATAGTAACGAGAATAACGACGAAATCCTCCCCTCCCACTTCAGCCTTTCGTCCGATTTTATTTTCAGCCACGAACGCGAGTGAAAACGGCCCCCTCCCCCCTTATCGGAGCAGATGGAGGAGACTTTATCAGATAATGTCGCGCTATCGGTCTTGGCAAATAAAGAGAATTCGCTGACAATTCGACAATGACGCACAGTGCCGGAGACGTACGTGCCGCGACGTCTATTTTTTTCGTTCGTTTCTCGCCCTTCGCTCGGTGCCCCTGCAATTTCGCTTTCGCCCAACGCCGCAAGGACGAGAACCACCAACCAGTCGAGTGAGTAAATCCACCGCGATCGATTTCAATGCCCGCGCGTGCGTGTGTGTGTGTGTATGTGCGTGTGCGTGTGTGTGTAAGCGTACGTGACAGCGTAAAATGAACAAGTACGTTTCGCGAAAGATGAAAAATTGGACAGGGTGTCGTCGGCGTTCTCTGTCAAGGAAAGAATCATTAGAATGATTAAATAATTATCCTCCATTTAATCATACATGTAATTAAATTCCACTATTAATTATAAATAAAATGAAAAATATTTTTAATAAATAAATAAATTTTAATATGGCAGAATGGTGCTGTGAATTTGAACTTCAAACGTAAAATTTTTATTCTTATTAAAAATTTTAACATGAAATATAATTACATTTCAAGATACAAATTCATTACATTCAGATAATTTCATTTCATTTTATAATTTCATTATATTATTTATAATTATAATTATTTCACTAGCATTGTATTTTATTTTAGATTTAATATTGAATAAATTTTTGAATTTATCTTTATTAAAATATCGTACAATTGAAATTATTTGAACTTTAATACCGATATTTATTTTATTAATAATATGTCACCCATCATTAAAAATTTTATATTTTATTGATAAAATATTAAAGCAATTGGTCATCAATTGATTTTATGAGTATCCAGAATATAATAGTTATGAAATTAATTGTTGTATAAATAATTATTCAAATTTAAATCAATTTCGACTATTAGAAACAGACAGTCGATTAATTATTCCATTTAAAATTTCATTAGACAGAAGATTGTTCCGTCACGATTTGTCGATCGAAAATTCTTCACACATGGAATTTGAAAACACGCGACAATGATCTTGGAAGTTTAACAGAAGAATTAAACTGCAGAATTTTATGCAAAATTGTAATCTCGATAATATAATTGAGAAAATGGAGAGATAGAAAGAGTAGATGAAAAAGTAGAAAAATAGAAAGATAGAAAGTTTGTTTTGTGTTACCAAATATTGTAAGAAGGTTAGAATATTTCTTTTGTATCGCATTCTGTGTAATTTTCAATCTTTAAATTCCCCCATAAATGCATAAAAATCCTCTAGTCTAGAAATAATAGTCTCTGTGAAATTCGATTAAGACAGACTGTTTTAGTTGTATCGTTGCGACATGTAGACGACGAATAAAGTCCGTGGAGACATAATCTAAAATATCCGGTCTGATAGTCAACTGATAATCGACTGATTACATATCTGTAAGAACGATGCCTGTCTTTCGTTGTTCTTGACACACTTAACCTCATTTTATAAATTCGATACGCCTTTCAATCGCAAGCTTATTATAACTAGAGAAAATAAAACTACACGTGATTGTCGTACTGTACTGATTACACTGGTGTTCACAATAATTATAATGTAATAAGCGTAATTATAATACATTGGTAGTGAGCATTTTAGGAATTTGGCAAGGTATGATAAGAAAAATTACTTCTATAAACACGATAAGACAGTATTTGTTTAACGCGTGAAAAGTCTAATGACGACTTTAGAAATTTCGAAATCCACAAAAAATTGATACGCCATACTTTGCTTCTCTTCCCTTTTCGGTTTACATTTTTCGAAATTGTTAAAAATTAAAAAATGTTCGATCGTCAATCCCTAGTAAAGATACGCACCAAGTTTCACAGTAATCGGTTGGTTGGATTTCGAGATATCTTGCACGCCGTTTCTAAAAACCTAATTTCGAGAAAAACGCGTTCAAAGTTTCAGAACGTCATTTTTCATACGTATCCTTTACTTACGCGGCTCACGGTTCTTACAATTCACAACCAAATTGAATCTAAATCCCCTAATATTCGATTCATCAAAAGTAATATTTGAATCGCACGATTTACACTTAATAATACTGCTTAAAGTTGCAAATAGTGATATAAATTCAATTATTCATGTATCCATGAATTTATTATTATACTCCAAAATAAGTCGTTTTAAAGGCTAAGGCCTTTTGTATCTTATTTCTAAGACTTCGAACTACTATTTAAAACAAAACAAAGAAAACTCGATTTTTCGAAAATGCCAAACTGTCCTAACCCCTTAAAATTAGCTCCTAGTTTCGTCACGACACAATGGTTTCAACACAACGCGCTATTTTATCGGAACTTATCTTATGAAACCCAGTGTTGTTGGAGAGGACTGTAATTAATGATCAATCACTTCCGTTAGATTATGGATAGCCTGTACCCGAATCTGTACGAGAGATTCAAAAGCGAGGGCGTCTGTCCGATTTGCCTGATGGAAATGGAACTAGCCCCGAGATACACTTGCAACAACCAGCACACAATTTGCTATCGGTGCAAACCTTATTATTACGACTGTCCCACTTGTCACTCGCCATTAGACATGGAAATGTCATCTGCATACTCGCCCTCGTCACCGCCACCGGCCAGCCACTTTCTGCCTCATCCACTTCGGCCGAAATTCTGTCCTACCGCACCGGCGGCCGATGATTTTCAAAAACACGAGAGAGGCTGGTATCCACCTCCGCCAGCTGAAGGTCAGGAGCTCAAGGAGTGTACGTACGCTCATCTAGGATGCTGGGTGAAGGTACCGATATACTTGGCGGATCTGCACGAGTCTCGGTGAGGAAATTTTTTTTTTTTTCTTCTCTCGAACGGGAGAGATGACAAGATGGATTGTTGCAGGGAAAAAGAAAAGAAATTTAAAATAAATATAGAGTTTATTAATTTAGGAATGAAGGAATACTGAATAGGATAAGAAGACCTCTCTAATTGAAATTTTGTACACAAAACAGCGCGTCAATTAATTCTTAATTTTTAATTATTAATTATAATTTTTAATTAATAATTTCAGATTTCAAATGGACGTTGATTGGTCAATTTTCTGGTTTTCTGTCTCGATATACTACGACATTTAAATTCTAAATAGAAGATGACGTAGAGATAGAAATTTTTTGGTGATAGATACAGCTACTTTGTATTTATAGAAATAAGAACATAAAATATAAAAAGATAAATAGAGTAAAAATATAAATATAAAATATAAAATATGAATATAAATATAAATATAAATATAAAATATAAATATAGATAAATATAAAATATAAATATAGATAAATATAAAATATAAATATAGATAAATATAAAATATAAATATAGATAAATATAAAATATAAATATAGATAAATATAAAATATAAATATAGATAAATATAAAATATAAATATAGATAAATATAAAATATAAATATAAATAAATATAAAAATATAAAAAATTTCAAAAGAGACAAAAGATTCGGTAAACTGTATTCAGATTTTCTTTAAATATCGAGTGTCATAGTCTATCTAAAGTCTTTCTCTTTCATAACACTGTTTAAGAATATATACGTTAGCATGACATAAACTTGTTACTAAAACCGAAAAAAAAGAAAATGGCGAAACGAGCAAATTGTTTGCTTTAGAAACAAAAATGAAGTTGTTTCTTCTAAAATTTCAGATGCCAATTTCGTCCTCACTTAGAAGAGGAATACCTGCCGACAGACGTGGCTCTCAAACACGACGATTTGATCGAGTGCAGGTACCGAGTGGTGGGTTGCAACGTGAAAACTTCACCGTGGAGGATCACGATCCACGAGAGCCATTGCATCTACAAGGATCGTTTCGACGAGATGAACATCAGCGACTCCATGGAACAGGCGACCATCTCCGGCAACGATTACGGAGATCCCGAGGAATTAGTGGAGTGTAAATATAGGAAATACGGTTGCATGGTGAACATGCCCAGAAGACGGAAGCAGATGCACCAAGCGAAATGCAACTACAGCAAGTATCACACCGACGAGGACGACGACGATGGTTCGTCGTCGGAGGGCGATTACGATCCCGACGAACAGGTCGCTTGCAAATGGGCCGAGTACGGCTGCAAAGTGAGACCGAAACGCAGCCGTTCAGAGACGCACGAGGAAAAATGCAATTACAGAATGGAGGAGTGCGCTTACAAGCACAACGGATGCACCGCCATGCTTCAACCGCCTAGGAAATTCGCTCACGAAAGAAGCTGCGAGTTTGCTTATTAAATTTCCTTTAGCCGGTGAACCGAGTATCCCCTAACCGAGAGAAATAATTGTAAGATTGTTTCTTATAGTTGGGTCTCTTAATCTAATAAATCTTAATCTAATAAATGTTCACCGAATTCTTACTTACGACGCAATTTTAGTTAGTGCAGTAGAGAATCTTTTTCTCCGCTTTGTATTTCCTTTTTAACCAATTAATTTAATCGTGTAGAATTGTTTTTAAATGTCAAGTTAGCTTAGAGGTAAAAA